ATCACTGTTTTATTGTGTGATCTGAGGCATTCACTGCAGTTCCCTCAGTGTTCAAGCAGAGGGTTGGTTTCAGAAAGCCCTCCCTCATTTCTGAGAGACTTGGGAAGGCTCTCTACTTCCATCTGCGTTCCACGTCTGTACCCGCCATGTTGCAGGACTGCTGTCTAACCAACTGAGATTCTGTGTGAAAGTGTATTTTTTGAAAACAGTGCCTCACTCCGAAAGTCCGAGAGAATTAAAATGCCTGCTGGTAATCCTCGATGCCGTGGTATTGAGGATCTCTAAATTGAGTAGAAATCTATACTAAATTAACTCTGTATGAGTCCCTGATACCTAACATTCTGCTGATTACTTCAGAATGAACCACGTATTTCACAAGGTATAATTTAACTGCTAGATGATTTAGATACCAGTTTCTTTTGTTTCCCTGGCTTCATTGAGATATAACCAATATACCACATTATTAGACACCAATCCCTTCAAATTCAGGCATGTATTGAAATGTTCTGACTGGGTTTGTTTGAATCGTGGGTTCAACTTAGCTGTGTGTTCGGTTCTGTGTGTTTCTGGGTGATGCGTATTTAAAGTATGCGTTCCATTCATATGCATACACACATACACTCTTTTTCTCCCATGGACATTGACATTTGGTTTCAAGGTAACTTCCAGCATCAGTACTTGAAGAAAGAAGACCATTAGACAGTTTCTTCGGTCATAATTGGGTTTTCAATCTTGCAAGAACAACACGATTTTCACTAAAAGATTAAAATTATCTGCAGATTACTTCAGTGCCCTTAGGAAATATAACTTACAAAGTACTTAAAATAGATGCCCGCTGAGCAATATGTTAATGTGTGACTATGTTTACAGTATTTAAAAATGTATCCATCAAATTTTTTCCAGTTAAAATAATCTGCTTATTTTAAGCTGTTTTTAAGGTCCACATTTAAATGGAGAAACATAGATTTAAGCCATATAAAAAGGAAACATTTGTGAAATATTTGAGTTTTCTGTAGCAGGCCATTAGAGTATAAGAACCAAGAGGGAAAATCATATAAGGGAGACAGGCAGAAATCTTTGCTGGGAACACTTGAGGAAGAACCCCAACCTTGGTATTGGCCAATAGTGGGGCCACAGGCCAGACCCATACTCGATGCGTGACGTACGTAAATTCAGAGATGTATGCGACTGTTGTGTGTACTCTACATACATTCATCTGTAGCTGTATTTTATTTAACTGAAAGAACTTTTTGCTATTAAAGCAATCTTTCTTTCAGACATACCTTACCAAGATACCTGAAGTAACTTCTGGTATCAGTGGAGGACGTCATCTATAAGTTATTTGCATTCATTAATTATAATCACTCTACATCCTGGGATTAACCACTTGGAGAGTAATTTTAGTTTAATTATAGGTGGTGTTAGCCATTACGTTTGGTGAGTGTGTTATGAAGCTCGAACCCCAGACAGATCATAATGATGCTGAGGTCCACAACTTCACAGTAATTGTTATTAAAGAGATGTCTTTCCATGCAACAGTAGTAGATTTTGAATTACCCTCAGGAGCTCTAGTCAATACTATTGTAGTCCTAATGCTTAGACAAATAATTATATTCACATGCCATGTGTGTTGTTGTTTTTAAGTAAGAGTCGAGATGATTTAATGGGACAGAAGACAGTGAGTAAATCGCTGCCAAGTTCACATTCCCTAGTGGGACGGAAAGTTGCATGGTGTAAAGCAGGGTGGGGTCGTTGCTCCTACAAAGAAAGACCAATGAAATAGGGATTTTTTTTGTTGGTTTGGTTTTTTTTCTGTAGCACAAAATGTTACTTCCTTATACCTCTTGAATCGGTGCTGGCCCAGACGAGAAAGCGGTCAGGGCTGCCAAAGGATTTCCATTTTATGATCCATTTGTTTCTCCAATTTTAGAAAAACCCCACTCTGATTCTGAATCTCCAGCTGCCTGTAATCATTGTTTTTCTATTCTATTACCTTTTCCTTACTGATTTGTGAGGCTTATTTATCATATTATGAACATGCTATTTGTTGAATACAAACATCCCCGTGTTTCTGTTTCTTTTTCTTTCTTTCCTTTTAGGAGTATTACTTTTTGTGTTCTATTTAAGAAGTCTTGGCTTACCCCACAGTTAAGAAGATTTTTTATGTTTTTTGTTTGTTTGTTTGTTTGGAAGCGTGATTGTTTTACAGTTCACATTTAGGTCTGCAATTCATAAGGAATTGATGTTTGTGTGAAATGTAAGGAAGGGATGGAGGTTTATTTTTCCCACCTGGATATCCAGTTGGCACAACCATCTACTGAAAAAACCATTCTTTTTGTAGTGCACTGCACCTTTGTTATAAATCTAGAGTCTATATCTCCATGAATTTGTTTTGGGACTTTCTACTCTGTGCCATTGTCTATGTTTCTAGGTTTGTACCAATTAAACACTGTTTGGATTATTATAGCTTTATAATAAGCTGTGATCTTTAGGAACATAAGATCTCCAGTTCTGTTCTTCAAGGTTGTCCTGGATATTCTTGGTCCAGACACCTGCATCAGAACTGATCTGAGGCATAGGGAGTTGAAAAGACCCTACATTGTTTGGAATGTGCAGCCAAGCCTGAGAGTTACTTGTCTAACTTTTGAGCAGTTCCTGGTGTTTCTGCCAGGGCCTGTGGAAAATTCTATCTACTGATCAAATGTGACTCATTCTTCAAAATGCACTTTACTAATTGGGACCCACTGCAGCCTAAATGTTATTCCACGGAGAAAATCTTAATATCTGATAATCTGGTTCAGCGTCATGGGTCTGTAATAGTAACTACCTTCCAGAGGACACTTTTTCTCTTGATTTTTTTTTTTCTTTCCTCCAATTTATAATCAAGTCTTCACTTTTTGATTTACTGTGAAGCAAGAACCGCTAGATAAACCAGAAAAGCTATTTTTCTTTAAAGACCTTTCAAAACCCCACAGCTTTGATATCTACTTGTTACAGTGTTATTGTTAGATTTAAATTTAGTGGAAAATGGGCTTCTTAATAGTTCTTTGTTTTAAACTCATAAATCCCTTTCATTAAATCTTTTTTATTAAGGTTAGCAAACTCCCACCAGCCTTTGATAATATTCCTGTGAAAGACTTGACTCTCTGAGAGCGACTATTGTATTTTTTTTAACATGTAAAATGTATTTGCGAATAATCTCCCGTTTGCAGTTCAACAGTAAAAGCTGAGATAATACTTGTATTCAGATATTTACACTACATATAATAATCTGAGTGGGCCCCAATCCCTCCCAAACTTTCTTATATTCCTTCTGGCAAAACATTTAAATACACTTAAGCACAGAGGTGGGAAATGTCCAGATGAAGAAGAAAAGAAAGCCTGTGGGCAGGTTTCAGTGGGTACTTACTAGCTAGCCCCAGGCAGAGGAAAGGCTAGAAGGATTCTATAGGGGTTACTTTGTTTCCTCCCATGATGGTGATATTCACAGTTAAAGTGATTAAAATGTGTTCATTAGGGCAGTCCAAACCGCCGGTCTGTCCTGACCTATTCATTCGGGCTAGTTGACACACACATCGCCGTGGCAGGCTCACGAGGAGAAGAAGTCACAGAATAGGGCATGTGTAAGCCACAGCGGGAACCGGGCAACTCAGGAAACCCGTTTACTCGCTAGATTCCTGGTTTATTACAAAGGATATTAAAAGATACAAATCAACAGCCAGATGAGATGCACAGGGCAGCATCATTCATGCTCACCAACCTAGAAGCCCTGTGAACTCCTTTCTTTTTGTGTTTTTATGGAGACTTCATTACATAGTTATGATCGATTAATAGGTATCATTGGCCACTGGCTATTGATCTAACCTCCAGCCCCTGTCCCCTTCCAGGAGGTCATGCGGGTGGGACTGAAAGTTCCAACCCCTCTAATCACTTGTTTGTTTCTCCTTGCAACTGACCCCCAACCTTACATGCTTCCCAAAAGTCCTCTCATTAACATGACACAAGACACTTTTTTTTTTTCTTACCTCCCATAGGAAATTCCAAAGGTTTTAGGAGCTCTGTGTCAAAGGGGACAAAGACCAAATATATATTTCTTATTATACATCTTATTATAAACCACCACATCACAAATGTCGAACAGTAAGAGCAATCCTAATACAACCTATTAAAAGGAAGTTAGAATAAGAAGGGGGAAGAAAGTGTGGGATGTTCTGCACCCTGCTTAGGGAAGCCCGACTCTGAGCCTTTTCTTCAACGGCATCTGTCACAGGGATATGCAGTCACCCTCCCCTGCCAACCTCTGAATCCCGCCCATGGGAACAGGAAGACCTTGATGGAGGGAAGGTCCCTTATTCTGATGGGCTGCTCCTTAATTTTTGCATAATTTCATTTCTCTTGTTTTATGCCTTTTATTTTGAACTGGGTAGATCTCTGCAGTCTTGTTTTATTCTTTGGCTTTATGAGACTTTGCCAGTGTAGGTAGAAATCGATAGTTTGAATACTGAGTGTGGTTTTCCCTAATCATTCATGTTGCTTCAGGTTGCTTCAGTCATTTGGATATACTAATATGTGTGTATGTGTGTGTAGTTTTATAATGGTTATTTGATCTGTCAATGTAGTTTCTCTGAGCAAGGAACTTAAAGGCATCCAGCATGATGCTGGGGCGGATAATTGACACCAAATTTGTTTCACGAATATGGCAGGTGGGTGTCAATGAAGATATATTTGAAAATTACAGAAAACGTTTTTTCTCAAATTTCTAATATGAATTCCTAAGTTTGTATATTTTCCTTCTTTGCCTTCCGCCCCGCCACACACACGCCTTTTAGCACTGGGGAACACTTTTGCAATTTATCATTCAATATTTGTGCACGAAGGGTCACAAAATAAGTCATTATAAAAATCGGCCAACTGGTTGGAAATTAAGAAAAAAAGTCACAGGGAGTAAAGATAGGCCAAAATAATATGCTGTTTTTTTGTGTGTGTGCTTTCTTTTTCAGGTCAGAACTGTGGTGGTTTAGTCCAGGGTCCCAATGGCACCATCGAGAGCCCAGGGTTTCCACATGGTTATCCAAACTACGCTAACTGCACCTGGATCATTATCACAGGAGAACGTAATCGGATACAGCTGTCATTTCATACCTTTGCCCTTGAAGAAGATTTTGATATTTTATCGGTGTACGATGGACAGCTCCAACAAGGGAATTTGAAAGTGAGGTAAAGTATTGACTCTTTATACTACAGATTAGGTAGCACTGTTGGACTTAGATTCTGGAAGTCAATTGGAATTATTTGAATTTAATTATCAGAAAATGTTAGTTACAATAAAAAGTAGGCTTTTGTGGACACTTTTTTAATACTTAAAAGCAATCATTGTCTTCCTTTATAGACATCAAATTGTTGCAGATCTGTAAAACGGTGTTGTCAAGGTAATTCAAGTAAGGTTACAATACACCATTGTTTTTAAGCAACTGTGGATTTGAGAGAAAAGTCACAAAGAGAAATGCATGTGTACAGTTCAGAGAACAACAAAAGGAACTTTTACATTGTCAGAGAATACACTGAATACAAAGAGTCTGGGAAGTGGGTGGGATAAAAACATGAAAGAACACTGAACTCTTTGGAGAATTTTTGGTTCACACAATCATAATATATCCCATTCCCCATTAGTTTTCTCTTTGATCTATGATCTTTACCATAAAGAAAGAACAAATATTTTCTGGGATGATTTTAAGTTACATTTTTTTTTCCCATTTATCAGCAAGAAAAAAAATTGTGCCTGTAGAAGTATGTCCATTTTTTTTTAAATTTGTCAAAAGAAAGAGGAATGTCCCTTTCAAAGAAATTGGAATTTCTTAGGTAAACTTATGAACATTTAAAAAAGGCAAAAAAAAATAAAAAAGGCAAATAAGGCTTTATCCTCTGGTTTTAAAATTCTGTACCAATTAGAGATTGTTTGTTGAATATATGAAGTTTTGTAGAAAAAAAATTTTTTTAAAGATTTTATTTATTTATTGGAGAGAGAGTGAGTGAGAGAGAGCATGAGAGGGGGGAGGGTCGGGAGGGTCAGAGGGAGAAGCAGACTCCCCACTGAGCAGGGAGCCCGATGTGGGACTCGATCCCGGGACTCCAGGATCACGACCTGAGCCGAAGGCAGTCGCTTAACCAACTGAGCCACCCAGGCGCCCGATGAAGTTTTGTAGAAAATTTGACAGTGGGCAGAAGAAATTGTACTGAAATGGTACTGTTGCTATTGTCAGCAGAAATACACACAAATCACACACTTAGTATTTTATTTTGTGGATTGAGAAAAGTCTCCAACCACAGAAACTTGTACATCTACTTAATATATCAATATAGTAAGGTATATATTAAGTTAATATATTGAATATATAATGATATACTTTATTTGCACTCCCTTTATGCATTTTCAGATATACAACACCTTTTGGTTTTTCTGGGTCATTTACAGTATCTGTTGTCTGTTTTTAGAAACTCGTTTCCGCTTTTCCTTTTTGTCATATATTGCACTCAACTATGTCCTTTAGGAATTACTTAGGTAAACTTTCTCCTGTCTAACACGTATGGCCCTACACTTCGGATGTTTAAGAAAGTTTCTATGAATATAATCCTTGGTACTATGATGCAAGATTTCTTACCCACTTCCTGCCTTTCTAAAAATTAGTTATTTACTAGTTTTTATTCCAAATAAAGCACGATACTAATGGTGGTATGTTGTAACAATAGAATTGTAATAAAAACTGCGAGGACTTATTACATAAAAAAAAAAAATAGAGAATCCAATATATTTGAATAGCATCATATGACTCTTTTTTAAAAGTAATTCTTTCTCTTTCCATTAAGAAAATTCTCCGCATGTACTCTTTAAAAATACTTCTTTGTCAATATTTCCATTTCCTAATTTATCTTAAAATTTAAAAATATTTTTATTTTATTATTGACCATCTCAGGCAGGCTGGCTCATACTAGTTCTGATAACTTTTTTACTTGATACTTTTGGGCTTTACATG